GGCCTGAAACATGACTTCAATGCATGCAAAATAAGGTCCCTTTGGAAGGCCAACCATGCTAGTAAAGAGAATGAGGGGTGAGAAGGTCATTCCTCTATGATTTTGGAGCTCAAAGACACATCAAGGCCACTGAAAATCCACTGGATTTCAGTGGCTAAGAGGCCAAAACAAGGCCAACGCAAATGCTCACATGCATGGCTCAAAGCATGAAGAAATGAAGCATGCAAGGAAGAAGATGATTCCAAACAGAAAAGATTCCTTAAACAAACATGTTTAGAAGATCAAAATAAGACTTTTTCTAGTTTATGATGAAGCTCGAAAATGCTTACAAGTAAGGCTAAAACATGATGCAAAAATAGCCTACAAAGAGGGATAAAACATACAAGGGTGTAGGAGGCCTCAAACAGAAAAATGTCCTTAATCAATATTCAAGAGGAGCTCAAAATATGACACTTTATAGTTTATGAAAAAGTCCATAAATACTTGCAAGTAAGGCTAATTAATAGAGCAAAAAAATACAAGTTTAAGGGAAATAGGTGCTTACCCTTGAAAAGCAGCAAAGCTGGAGCTTTTGGACCAAGTTGGCGAACCATCAACCCTTGCAAATCAGTCCCAAAGTGCTGGAATGGATGGAGGAGGTGTTGTGCTAAGGGTTGGTGTGCAAATGGTGCAAGAATATTAGGGTTTGAAAGCTCTAGTGTAGAGATATAGAGAGAGAGAGAGAGAGAGAGAGAGAGAGTTGTAAGCCTTCAAAAGGGTTCAACCCTAGCAATGGAAGATCAACCTCTCTTTTATAGAGGAGAGGCTCCAAAATATCTTAAAGTGGCTTCATATATCCTCCATATATGGAGGATGGTACAATTGCCTCACAGCTGGCACAGCTGTGATGCATTCACAGAGGGCAAAAAACAAGAAGCAGGCCGGCCAGTTCAAGTGGCCGGCCGACCACTCCCCCTGGTCAGCCGACCAGGGGTCAAAAAGGTCAAGAAAAATTTCTGGCCGGCCACCACAAAAAAGTGGCCTCCCAGATGAGTGCAACACAGCTGTATAGTGAAAAACCAGAAAAGTGACCCAAGAGAGAGAAAAGCTAGCTTTTAGCGAAGTTTAAAAGGGTCAAGATGAATTACTGGTCGGCCTACCCATATTGGTGGCCTCCCAGATGAGCACAACACAATGGTGGCATGAAAAGCCAGAAATTGTGGCTCAAAAGTAAGAAAAACCAGCTTTCTATCAGAAAAATTGGCTTTTGGAGAGAGAAAAAGAGAAAACTGGTTTTTCTGGGGAAAAGGTGGCCTCCCACCATCCTACCACCTCCCTAGCAATAAAAATAGGGTCCCTACCAAAAATGGACCAAGACGGATGCAAAATGAAGGTTCGGGGGCCAAAACATGCGGTTCGGGGCCCCGAAAACAGGCTGTTAGGCACCGGAAGTGGCGTATGACCACGAAGGTGGTCTCCTGGGCCACAGTGTCCCTCTAAAGGGAGGAAATGAGGTGTGTGCCAAAGACCAGAGCAAACTAAAGTAGTTAAGCGGTCCCAAACCGAGGCACACGGCCGACGGCTCCGAAAACCGAAAACTGGGCTCCAAACGGGAAAAATGGCCTATGACCACGAAACATAGCCTACGGCCACTAAGAGATGGTCTATAAGGCCTCTCCCTCCCTTTGGGAAGAGAAAACAAGACCTGGTTCGCAAACTGAGACAAAGCACAAAAGAGCTCCGAAATCTAGAGGCAAGGCTTGCAGCTGAGACTCCGCAACCTCAGAACGAGCACAATATACAACATTACTGAGTGCTCAGTCGGTGACGTCTGAGTCTTAAGGTCGGTCAAAAATGGGGTGTCTACACATATGTGAGAATATATATTGTATATATGGTATATTAAGAATTAAGCAATTTCCTTGCTTATGTATATTACAGGAATTAGGTTCATTGCTTGTGTATATTATGAATTAGGCAATTTCCTTCACGTCAGGATCCTAATTGGATTCAAGTTATGGAGGATGAGTTGTTGGCCTTACAGAATACTAACACTTGAGAGTTGGTTCGTTTGCCTACTGGCAAGAATCTAGTTGGCTGCAAATGGATCTATAAAGTCAAGACTCATTCTGATGGTTCTCTCGAACGCTACAAAGCTCGCTTGGTTGCCAAGGGTTTCTCACAGGAGTATGGTATTGATTATGAGGAGACATGTGCCCCTGTTGCCAAGATGATTACTTTCCGTACCTTGATTTATGTTGCTGCTGTTCGATATTGGCCTCTCTATCAAATCGACATTAAGAATGCTTTTCTTAACGGTTATCTCACTGAGGAGGTTTACATGCGTCCTCACCCTGGTCTTCTCCACTCTTCTAGGCAGGTTTTTCGTCTTCGGCGTGCTCTGTATTATTTGAAGCAATCTCCTCGTGCTTAGTATGATCTCTTTTAGACTGCTATTGCCGAGCTTGGGATTCATCCTTCTACTTCCAACTCTGCTTTGTTTTTGAGATATACCTCGACTGGTTTTGTTGCTCTCCTACTCTATATGGATGATATGATCATCACTGGCTCTGACTCTTCTGCTATCTCTGAGGTCAATCAACATCTCTTCTGCACCTTCGAAATGAAAGATCTGGGTCCATTGCGATATTTTCTTGGTATTGAGGTTGCCTCTTTTCCAAAGGGCTATTTTATATCTCAGGCCAAGTATGCTAATGAGGTTATTCACCGTACTGGTCTTATTGATATTAAGGTTTCTGATACACCTATTGAGCTTAATGTGAAACTCAACTCTACTGATGGTGTCCCTCTGGATGATCTCACGGTCAATCGGGAGCTGGTGGGTTGTTTAGTTTATTTGACTGTCACTCGCCCTAATTTTACTTATACTGTTCATGTGGTTAGTCAGTTCGTTTCTGCTTCTCGCTCTACCCATTTGGCTGCTTTGGTTTGCATTCTTCGCTATCTCTGAGGTACTATTTTTCAGGGCTTGTTGTTGTCATCTACTTCCTCTTTAGACTTGGTGGCCTATGCTGATTCTAATTAGGCTGGTGATGTTATTGATCACAAGTCCACCTCTAATTTCTGTTTGTTTCTTGGCGATTCTTTGATCTCTTGGAAGAGCAAAAAACAAACTATTGTTGCTTGCTCTACTGTCGAAGTTGACTACTGTGCTATGGCTCATGCTACTACTGAACTTGCATGGCTTCATTGTCTTCTCTCTAATTTGGGTGTATCTTAGTGTTCTCTGACCTCCCTCTATTGTGACAACCGCAGTGCTATTCAAATTGCCCACAATAATGTCTTCCATAAATGGACGAAACACGTTGAGATTGATTGCCACTTTGTCCGAAAATATCTGCAGTTTGCCTCTATCTCGTTTCCTTTTGTCTCATCAGCTTTACAACTTGCGGACTTCTTCACCAAGACTCACACTACCACTCGGTTTCAGTTTCTTCTTAGCAAACTCTCAGTGTTTTCTGTTAAAACACCTTGAGCTTGAGCAGGTGTGTGAGAATATATATTGTATATATGGTATATTAGGAATTAGGAAATTTCCTTGCTTTTGTATATTACAGGAATTAGGTTCCTTACTTGTGTATATTACGAATTAGGCAATTCATTTTTCTTTGTATTTCCTTTTTTGTTGTAGATTAGGGCTATATAACTACAGCACTCTTTGTAAACATACTTAAGTTAAATACAGAGAAAACTTACACCATAACCAATTAATTTTAAGTTTGATGTCTTTGAAATTCAACAATGTCAAGCACCAACACAAGAAGATGGCAAAAATTAGCGTTTACTTGTTCTTTTTCTTTCTTTTTTTGAAATTGGGGATTTGATTGAGATGAAATTATATAATTTTTTTAATGAATTTTTTGGTTGGTTTGATTAATTCAAAAAAAAATGAAATTGAATGATCCTATCAAACAAAACCTCAAGCCGCAACTTTTTTTTTTTTTTTTTATCAGCAAAAGGGAACTTTGTTGATGAATTATAACATATAAAGTATGAAGATACATCAATAAAAGGGGAGGAAGTGCAAAGAATATCACGGAACACCATCTCAATCCCAACTAGGTTGGCACCGAGAGGGGAACCCAATCATATGCTAGCACAAGCCTCAAGATGTTGGCAAGAAACCAACAAGAGAACAAAAGGCCAAAAACAAAGGCCGCAAAACATCAAAACTACCCCTGTTGCCTACCCTAAGCACTAAGCCCCTGCACTGCCAAAACTAGTAATAGAGGAAACCTCAAACAAACAGCCTGATGAGATGAAGGTTGGAAACAATATCGTGAACAGTATAATTGACCTCCAAGAACCATTTGCCCTACAAAGCAATGAGCACTTTCATTTTTTCACATAAATCTTCAAAAGCAGGTTGTGCCTCTTTAAACAAACAATCATTTCCTAATTTCCAAATAGACCATAACACGACTGAGGGAACAATCTGCCATATTCTGGATACCCAAGGCTTGAACTTGCCACCTGACCACCAATGCAGCAGGCCCTCTACTGATCCAAGAATTGCCCAGACTTAATCCCACCAATTTACCATATGTGACCAGCACTTCCAGACAAGAACTGTATTCTCCTCCCATTGCCAACCTTTATTTTGAATTGGCCACCATAAAACGCACCCAAGAGCTGGTTGACTGAAGTAAGCTGCATAATATCCTACCAAACTATGGACACCCCACCTGAATGATTAACTGATGGAATCCAACCCCCACCAGCTGTGTCATACCTTGAACACATCACAGATTTCCACAGTGCTTTATCTTCACTACCATACCTCCACCACCACTTTAGTAACAAACAATCATTCACTTCATCTAAGTCTCTCACTCCCAAACCTCATTGACTTTTGGTTTTGGTGACCTCCTTCTATTGGACCAAGTGCACTTTTCTTTTATTTTCAGTCCCTATCCACAGAAAAGATGACTGAAGCTTAACTATAGCCTTAACAACCCCCTTAGGCATTTTAAAGATAGAAAGGAAACAGATTGGCAGGTCTAGAGGACAGATTTAATCAAAGTCAATCTCCCAGTATAAGATAACTTCCTCTTCCAAGAAGACAGCTTCTTCTTGACCTTGTCCACTACTGGACGCCATGTGCTCTTTCTTCTAGGATTGGCCCCTAAATGCAAACCTAAGAAATTAAATGGCAATTTCTTGGTCAGGTAGTTCAGAATCTTAGCAAACTCCTTAGTGTGGTCATCTTGGAAGCCCACCCCACAAACTACACTTTTATGATAACTGATCTTTAACCCGTACATCACCTCAAAGCACCACAACACCCTCTTTATGTTCAGAATTGCCTCCTTATCACCTTCACAGAATATGATAATGTCATCTTTAAATTGGAGATGTGAGATTCTCAACTTATTAGTTCTAACTGTGGCACCTTTAAACAGACCGATTCTTATAGCCCTCTCCAATAAAAGGTTGAGAACTTCTGCTACAATAATGAATAAAAACGAAGAAAGAAGATCCCCTTGCCTTAACCCCTTTTGTGGTTGAAACTCCTCAGTGGTTACACCATTGACCAAAACAAACCCCTTAGCTGTAGAAATGCAAGTCTTCATCCACCAAATCCATTTTTCGCCAAATCCAAAGTTTCTCATTATTGACTGCAAAGACTCTCAATTTATTGAATCATAGGCTTTCTCAAAGTCTAATTTTAGGATAATACCTTTCTTTTTAGATCTTTTCCACCCATCTACAACTTTATTTGCTATTAGCACCCTATCTAGGATGTACTTCCCACTCACAAAAGCTTATTGCACCTCACTAATCGCAGATGAAAGAACCTGTTTAATTCTTCTAGATAGCACCTTAGCCAAGATCTTATAAACTGAACTAACTAGGCTAATAGGTCTATAGTCCCCCAAACCTGTAGGATTATCCTTCTTAGGAATAAGTACAATAAAATAGTTGTTAACCCTTCTTGATAGCTTTCCATTTGTGTGAAATTCATGCATCAATTGAACTATCACCCATTTCATGATCTTCCAACATTTTTGAATGTAGACAAGGTTGAGGCCATCTAGTCAAGGGGCCTTGTTCCCATCACAGTCTTGAAGTGCTGCCCAAATCTCAGTTTCAGAAAACACTGTTTCCGAAGACACTGTTGCCTCAGGGCTAATTGCATCAAAAAGACCTAAAAGTTTTGGCCTAGAATTCCAGTTCTCTAAAAATTGTTGACTAAAATGCCTTACCCTGCTTGTTTCACCTGAACTGGGTCCTCACAACTCGCATCCTCCACTATAACTGAATCTAACAAATTCTTTCTCTGTCTTCTACTTGTCAAAATTTGAAAGAACCTAGTATTTTTGTCACCATTTCGAGCCCATAGTAGTCTATATTTTTGATGCCACAGCCTTTCCTTATTTCTGCTGAGCTGCCACACCTGGTTTCTAACTTCTCTTCTTCTTTTAGTTTCTAGATCATCCAGGTGCCTAGACTATGTCTTCAGATCCCAATCATGTAACTTCTCTTCTACTGACTTTAGAAAAGTGTCTATATTACCAAACACCTCCTTGTTCCACACCCTTAAACGGTTCTTTAACTTGTACAATTTTCTCATGAGTCTATACCCTACCCATCCAGACACTTGAGTGCCCTCTCAACTTTTTTTGACTTCAGCCATGAAAGTAGGATGTGATGTCCAAGAATTTATAAACTTGAAAGGCTTAGGACCCCAATCCCTATCATCCTCCTTCAGCAAAATTGGGTAATGATCTGAAATTGTTTTAGGTAATCTCCATTGTTTAAGAAAGAACTTTTCCAACCAATTTAGGTCTAATAGAAATCTATCTATCATATTCCACCTATCCTTTTCCAATGCATTACACCAAGTGTACTGTCTTCCTAGCATAGGCATATCAGGCAACTCCATCTTTTCTACAAACTCATTGAAGTCCTTCATCCCCCTATCTCTTCTTAGGCACCCTTTTCTCTCACTCATATACTTGATTTTATTATCCCCTCACACACACCATGGATTTGGATAATGTGGATGGACATTAACCAGAGAATCTTAGAGCTGCCTCATCTTCAGAACCTCATTTGAAGCATAGATATTAACAATAACACACTCGAAAGAATTACATGAGGTACCTGATACATAGCATAATGAAATGCTTGCTGCTACAGCAATCTTTTTGCTCAAAGACATGTGGCCTCCAAATACACAAAAAAACCACCTGCACTTTCTTCTAAATCCACCAACATAAATCCCATCTCTTCATAAGGCCAGATGGTCTTCACAAAGTTTTCATCCATTGAGCTCCTTTTTGTTTATTGTAGTAATAAAACATCAACATTCCTTTCCTTCACTAAATTCTTAATTTCCCCCCACCTTTTTTTTTTTTGGTTTTCTTTGCCCTCTAACGCTCCATGATAAAATCTTCATGACAAAACACACAACTTACACCCAGAGCCCCTTGTAGACACCCCATTTTTGACCGACCTTGAGACTCAGACGTCACCGATTGAGCGCTCGGTGATATTGCATGTTGTGCTCGTTCAGAAGTTTCAGAGTTGCGGCCGTGAGCCCTACCTCCGGACTTCCGAACCCTTTCCTGTGCCTTGTCTCGGTTTGCGAACCAGACTCAGTTTTCTCTGTTTCTTTTCTTGAGGGGAGGGAGAGGTCCTGTAGACTATCTCTCAATGTCCGTAGGCTACATTTGGTGGCCGTAGGCCATTTTGCCCATTTCGGAGTCCGGTTCCCGGTTTTCGGAGCCGTCAGGCCGTGTGCCTCGGTTCGGGACCGCTTAACCATCTCCTATTGCTCTGATTTTCGGCATACATCTTATTTCATCCCTTTTGAGGGACACTGGGGGCTAAGAAACCCACTTCGAGGTCGAATACCATTTTCGGTGCTTAACAGCCCATTTTCGGGACCCCGAACTGCGTGTTTTGGCCCCGGAACGTTCGTTTTACAACGGTTTTCGTTCATTTTTGGCAGGTACCTCTGTTTTATCACAGGGAAGGTCACTGAAGGGTGGGAGGCCAGCAATTGTTGCAGCAACCAGTTATCTCTCTTCCGGAGCCTCCCGGCGCCCGTTTTTCGCACTTCCGGGCTAATGTTGAATACCTTGGAGCTAGTGTTGCCAACTTTCAACCACATATCTGTGATCTACACATCTGAGAGGCCCCTAAAAGTTGCTGTTTAGCGTATCGCACTATCTAGTGCATTTCGAATCAATCGCACTGTTTAGTGAATTTCAATCACGCTGTTTAGCGTATCGCACTGTTTGGTGCATTTCAATCGCGCTGTTTAGCGTATCGCACTGTCCTGTGCATTCAATCGCGCTGTTTAGCGCATCCTAAAAGTTCATGGCCGGCCAGTAAGTCAACTTGACCCTTTTGACCCCCTCTTTCCGAGCCATTGTTGAACCCCTTGGGCCCACTTTCTTGGAATTTCAATTACATGGTTGTGTTGTACACACATAGGGCTACCTCCCCAATATCTGGCCGGCCAGAAAAGCTCCTTGACCCTTTTGACCCCTAGCCGGCCGGCTAGGGGGTGTGGCCGGCCGGCCACCTCCAGCAAAAGTGAGAGGCCGGCCGTGTTCCTCGCACTGTGCACTTTCCAGCTGTGGGGCAATATCCCCCAGATATTTTCTGTATCCGGGGGATATTCTGTGGGGGAGTTTTACCCTCCTTCTCCCCCACCTTTACACCCCTTCTTTGGCCTATTTAGCAAGCCAACTTTGTTCTTTGTAGGGGTTAGAGACATTACTCTTCAAGCTTCCATAGCCAACTCCATCTTCTTCCTTCTCAATTCTTCAAAAAACCCTAGGTCCCTAATCATCAATCCTTCTACACCACCAAGCTCTACCACCATCATCTCATTTCCAGCAACAAGGAAGGATTCTTGAAGGCTAAAGAAGCTGCAAATTGGTCTGAGAAGCCACAAAAGTTTGAGTCTTCAAGGGTAAGTAATACTTAGACCCTTTTGACCCTTTTTCTTGATCAATATGTAAGCCATGCATGCTTTTTGTGTTGAGCTCCGAGCCTAACTGAAAAGGGCCATATTTTGAGCTCTTCTTCACTTTTCATTAAGGGCTCAACCCTGTTTGAGCCCTTCATAATACACTTGCTTCATTGACCCCCTTGTATGTCATAGTTTTGCATGCTATTTTTGACCCATGAGCAATTTATTTTCGAGCATGTTGTAAACTGATATTAGGCTCATTTTGAGCCCCTCTTCAACATTGGAGAAGGGCTCAACATTGTTTGGTGTCTCCATATGTCACTTGTAGTTATATCCCTTGTTTGGCTCCATTTTTGCATAGATTGGCAACCCCCTTTGATTTTGTTTTTGGACCTTGGTCCGAACTGAAAGTGGCCTTATTTTGGCCTATACTTCATGTTTCATTCACATTTTTTTTCTGTTTGGTAAATATTTTGTATACTTCATGTTATAGCCATTGTTGAGCCTTATTTTGCATCACATTTTTAGCATATTTGTATATTGATTTGAGATCTGTCATGTACTGTAAAAGTTCATATTTTTGGTCCATTTTCAGTGTTGTAGAAGGAAATTTTTCAGTTTGGGTTTTTCTTATACCACTTGCTTCATTACCCCTCTTTTGGCCCCTATTCTTGCATGCTATTTTTGCCATATCTATGCTTGCTGTTTGGCCTTGTTTATAACTGTGAAAGTGCATTTCTTGGGACTGTCTAGCTTCTGTCTTTGCATTGCATGTCCATATTATGCATGTTTGGCATAGCTTTAGGCCATTTCGGATGCCTAATGTCGCATTTCGGGACATTTCCTTGCATTTGGTATCATTTCGCTTCATTTCGGGACTGTTTTCCCCCATATTTTGTTGCTGAAATTACATTGGCATGCTTGCATATCATTTTTGCCATATTACATCGCATTCTGTCACCGCCTCGGTTTGCGTGCCCGTGTGCACGCATTTCGAGGCACTTCATATTCTGCCATCGGCATCCGATGTGAGTGTGGCTGAGGCTCACTCATGTTGGTATAAGCCCATTTATCATTTCCATGCCATTACATCGCATTCTGTCACCGCCTCGGTTTGTGTGCCCGTGTGCACGCATTTCGAGACATTTCATTTTCTGCAATCGGCATCCGATGTGAGTGTGGCTGAGGCTCACTCATGTTGGTATAAGCCCATTTGTCATTCCCATGCCTTTTCATCGCATCATATCATTGCCTCGGTTTGCGTGCCCGCGTGCACGTATTTCGAGACACATATCATTGCCTCGGTCTGCGTGCCCGCGTGCATGTATTTCGAGACACATATCATTGCCTCGGTTTGCGTGCCCGCGTGTACGTATTTCGAGATACACATCATTACCTCGGTTTGCGTGCCCGCGTGCACGTATTTCGAGATACACATCATTGCCTCGGTTTGCGTGCCCGCGTGCACGTATTTCGAGACACATATCATTGCCTCGGTTTGCGTGCCCGTGTGCACGTATTTCGAGACACATGTCATTTTCTCAGTTTGCGTACCCGTACGCACGCATTTCGAGGCATCTCATTTTTCACAGCATAGTGCATACTAGGTTGTATCTTAGATTATATTCTGTCATTTTCTCGGTTTGCGTACCCGTACGCACGCAGTTCGAGGCATCTTATTTC